ACACTGAGTATTGTACTTGACATTTCAGAATGAATAATTTTGGAGGGACGCTCGCTCAACTGCTCCACTGCCTTACGTTTAACACTGTTACTAACCTTTTGCCGTATCTACCATTGATTGGTGATCATCTGGTTCGTGATTATACTACTTTTGCAGGGGCGTATACAAGTGGGGATGTAGGGATCAGATCTCCCCCATAGGTCTTTTAAAAATTGTATAAAATAGTGTTCTTAATGTAAGGAAATTATATGGAAAAAAAAATTATTGCAAGGATTTATTGTAAATTATTATTTTGACACATTCAATATATATATATATATATATATTATTATTATTTAAATATGCAAGTACTTAGGTTTAGAAATTTTCCTTCCATAATAATTTGTTTGCAACTGATCCCCCCCCTTCAAAAGTTATATGTACGCCACTATCCTATTGGACTATACAATTGTATTTACTTTATATATAAACTTTACAGATAAACAATAGGTATATGACCGCAACTAAGATATTACTTACAATTCGCGTGATCGCAACTGTTATATGTCCTTATCTCAAAAATCGTCTCTGACCATAACTCGAATGCAGCCTTAAAATCGGTTGACAGAAAAACTGAGCCCCCCCACTCCTCAAAGGTAGATATTTGGTCTTATCCGTGGGGGGCTTAACGCTTTTGTCTTATCCATTAACGTAAACAGTCCTACTTTATACTAGTTGAGGTATCAAACATATACAGGTAATAGGAACATCAAAATATAAAATATAAGTGTATAAATATATTCCTTTATTACCTACAAAATATGGTTTTTCCCAATAACGATAGTCTGTAAATATTCCAGACCATTCTCGCATACCAATAAAATAAAATAAAAATTATAAATATCAAAATATACAATTTATTTTGACTACGATCAGAGGCTTTAGCCCCTCCCCTACAATATCCGCCTATGGTTACAATTAGATTTGAATTAGGATATTGGCGTTAAACTTTGATTCGGCTGCTTACGAACTAAGTCCCAGTATAACCTTTTATGACGAATTGAGTCCCGGGTTGTTTTAGGGTATAAACCAATTGGGTCCAGTGAAATTATAGGTATAATACTAATTGAGTCTATGTTTTAATACTAACAGAGTCCCGTAAAATTAAAAAAAAAAAACATTTTCCTTCCCATTTTTACAGACTTAGGACTGTCTGTAACAAAAAATTCTACTCACTTAATATAACTTCATCCATGATTCTTGGCGTACCTCGTAAACTAGAGTGTTTAATATAATGAAAAAAATGTCCGGCCTAAATAATATGTATTATATTATGTTATCTGACGAATGTGATGATAAAAATGATATCGGTAGACGGTGAATATTATACAAGCGATGATAGAAATAAAATCTAAAATTCCCGACCCATAGTATGATATGTTACTATATTATCTGACGAAAGTCATAAAAATGATATGAATGATATGTATATATAGGTATATCCGTATGGAGCGGCTGTGCAGCATAATTTTAATTATTATTATTTTTATTATTATTCATAATTTTCGCTGTGCCTGGACTCTGGATGGTTATTTCATATTTTACTCAAAATAATCCTCGGACTCAATTCGTATACAATTAGTTTCCTAACCACGGACTCAATTAGTATATGTCTCGTTTGTACCCGGGACTCAATTAGTATATTATTTTTTCCCCGTTCAGGTATAGGGACTCAATTAGTATACAGTGTTTGATTCAACATCACTGTTTAATCGTTATTACTTTTCACCAGGTACGTACCCAGGAATTTTTTTATTGGAGGGGTCTAATATTTTTATTTTATCTGATAGTGGGATATTAAAATACACTATATACTACTATTATACTGTTTACTATTAAATCGTTGAGTATGTAGACATTTCAATAGGAGTTGGACCCCCCCTCCTTGGATACGCTCTAGCTTTTCACTGAACTAAGACCTACAAGTATTAACCATTATAATCTTTTTTTTTTTTTTTACAAAAATCATATACAACACATATAGTGACGTAGTTACAGGGAGGGGATAAAGGGTTTCCACACCCCCACGGATTTTTTTTTTAATGATATTTGATTATTATTTATTAATATTTATATATTCGAATAAAATATTTTGATTTTACTATGATTAGGTATATATTAAAAATTGAATAACAAAATAAATTTCATTAAATACGAGACATAATAATAATACCATTTTTAATGTAATATTATTACATATGACCTCGTTTTAAGATATACTAAGAATATTTAAAAACTTACTCTTAAACACCCCTTCCAGAAAACAATTGTATCTACGCCACTGAACACATATTATCATATTTTAACAATAAACACATTGGCAGTATGTACAATGTAGGAAACGTGTAATCTAATGAAATGAAATTACTGAAAAAACATGTAACTTTGATGTTACAGGTAGGCAGATATTTAAAAAGAAAAATACTATAATAAATATAACTAACATTTTGTTGTTAATAACAATTTAGTTGGTTTGTACAGATTAATACATCACACGTGATTTTTCTTATTTCGAATTTATCAAGTACTCAAGGTAGTAGTTTTAAGTAAAAACCAATAAATTCAAGCATTGAAGTTTCCTAATAACTTGTTACTAATGAGAAATAATATATTAATACTTACTTTTTAATGGCAAATTATTGATTAGATAAAATTAATATATTATAATTACATACTAGCTATTATTATAGATGAATAGGTATGTTATTTTTATATAAAATGTATTTTTTAGGTACTTTTTAATGGCAAATTAATGATAGAATAAAACTAATATATTATAATTACTTACTAGCTATTATTGTAGACAAATAGATATGATATTTTTATTGGAACAATTTTACAATAACAGCTTTTAAAATCACTGATATTTTTGATTTTTTACACAAGGAAAAAATTAAAAATAAGTAGATATCTAATTATAAATGTTGAACACAATATATTTTAATAACTTAAGAAATAGTATTTCATGATTGAGTTATTTATTTTTAAAATGGTTTTTCAGTTTCAAATACAGCAAAATTGATAATTTTCATGAAATGGTTATAAAAAATATTCAATAAATCATTACAAGTACTAGAATCAGTGTCTTTCAGACTATTCTCAAATTTAACTTAAAAAAATAAAATAATATTGATTTTCTTGAATCCAACAAACATTATAAATCAATCTAAAATAAATATATAATTAGCTAGTTTTTTGTTTTCTCAAATTCAACAATATTCATTTTACAAATGGAGCAAATGATCAATCAATTACTTTATTAGGTTAATATATAAACCAAACAATTTTGTTTTATATTTATTAAAATAAAACTGTAAATTCAAAAATTCTATTGTAATATTAATAATTAAACTAAAATAATAAAAATAATAATTAATACATAAATTACATTGGTATTTGACCTAAAAAAATATAATAATAATTATAATAATAGAGTAATAGCATACAAAAAGGTGCGTTTATACTTAAAATCTGGGTAAAAAATGTCACTTAATATCCTTTAATGAAAATTCTTAAAACCTTATAATTCAATTAACATGATAAATTATATATACAAATTACCTATAAGTGAAAATAAAATAAAATATAATTTAACAAGAATTAAAAATGAAAGGATTGTGACATTTAAGCAATCAACAGTTATTAAGTTAAAAATGCATTATGAAATGTCATTGGACAAACAGTTCAAATGAGTTTATATTAATTTCACCCAGTTAAAGCTAAACAAAATTGTTGTTGACAACGCAGTAGACATATTATAAAGAATAAAATGCATTCAATTTCAAAAATAAATTATTGACTCCAAAATCATGATGTATGCATTATAACATATTGGGATTAATTACTCCCAAAATAATTTGTACGTAAGAACCATTTACATACCAATAACAGTATTGGTTGACCCTATCTACAAAAGTTCACGTCAGTAAAAACACTGGTGTGATTAATACATGTATTATTTATGGTAAGAATGCAGAAAACATCACCCTTCAAACTAAATGGACTTCAGTACACATACAATAAAGGAGATCTTTTAAGATAACGTAACAAGAAACCTGCAGTAATATAAAGATGCAGTAAATACATTTGAATCCAAATCAATCAACAAGGTATTTTGTCCTTTGATAGAGATCACCAAGCTGGATATAGATCACGAGGAAAAAATATATATATCTTGATATACAAGTGTACTAAAATACAACAAATTTGAGTAATTATATGATCGTACAATTTACATAATTAATATTGGAATAATTCTAATTTTACTTAAAATCTAGAGGTAGATTACTAAAGCTAACAGTAATAAAATATACAATTTATATTTTTAGACATTTTAATATACATGAATTGATGATTTGACAACGCACAAAAGTACGTTTCAGTTCTGGGTGGTGAGCAAACCCAATCCTTGTACAACAGTTATCTTAAGGGAAAGCTCAATTTTTTTAATAAATAAAAGGCACTAATTCGCGTAAAATATATTTTTCTCTTTCAAAATCAGCGTGTATTTAGTGTAGTAACAAGTTACTAATTAATTTACGACTAAAAATTTAACATATAAGAGAAATAAAACAAATAATTTTGGTAAAAACAAAATAATTGATAAGTTATTTGAACATATTTCAATTGTAGAAATTTTGATAAAAAAAAAAAAAAAAATAAAAAAATAATGAAACTTGAAATAACGTATTTTTGTACCTTGATATGAAATAATTTTTTCAAAAAAATTAATACATAAAAAAATGTATACTGAAACTAAAATAAAAATATTAAACAAAATAAAAATTATGGTTTCCAAATAATAGTTAAACTAAAAAATTTAGAGTTTTAAATAATTAATAAAAATTGAATAATTAAAATTTATTTAAAAATTTTTAAATAATAGAAAAAAATGTCAATTAAATAATACTTACCAAATAGTAAGAAAATAAAATAATTGTTAAGCAAGAGAGGAAAAAGGCTTTCAATTTACATAGAAAAAAAATACACACTCACACTTAAAAATATAAACTAAAATGTTAACTGTTAACCAATTTATAACCTGAAGCCAAACAAATCTCCAAGACCTTCTTCAGAATCCAGACAATAGTTGTAGTCATCTTCATTTGGTGGTTCAAGCATCAAGAAAGGTTCACAAGTTATCTCAAATGAATCATTAGCTAGAAAATACAATAAAGTGACTCAAGTTTAAAAAAAAAAAAAAAATAGGTAGGTTAAAGCAACTAACATGCAATTAAGATGCTTAAAATAGTATGAAAATAGAAATAACAAAAATGTACATTGTAAATTCTTTACTTATATAAATACATATAAGAATATACTATGAAATCAAAACAAGTTTCTCTGGTATTTTTTAAAAAAAAAATTGAAGTCAAAATGCTTTGAATAAAAAAAAAACTAACATAATATAAAAAGTAACAAGACCTATAATATAGTATATACAATATATTAAACATGATTGTTTTTTCATTAGTAATGATGAACATAAAATTGTTGTAATATAAAGCTTTATTATGTATTAATAAAAAACTTTTCATTAAATAAAAATATGGTTGATCCACACGAGTTACTAAAGTACATTGATTTCATGTTAAACACAATGTAATAGTGTTATGTGTAGATGTGGTGGTATATGAAGAAGCGCTGATTGTACATAAAGCAAAAGCAGACAACACACCAGGCGACAGCTGAATTCCATGGTGCTACAGGACATACATTACATGCGGCACACGTAAAATTCAGCGGACGACTGACATGACTGTTTTACTCCCAACAGCAGTATACCCGAAGCATGGCAATTTTTTAATATTTTCAGATAATTTGATATAACAAAATTATAAACATTATAATTTTGCTTTTATATTTCCCAAAAAGGTTTAACAGGGTTATAGTATTTTTATTAAATTATAAAAGCAAAAAGTATATAATACAAGACAAAGTTATACAACAAATAAGCAAAAAAAATAAATAAAATTTAATATTATTAATGATAAAACTAAAAAAGTACAAAAAAAAATAATATTTTATTACTTTCCGAGTATGATAGTATTTTTATTTAGTTGATGTTTTTAACATTATTAAAAAAATTTTAATTACTTATAGTTGGAACAAAAATAAAATGTTATTTTGCTGAAATGTATTAAACTTAGTAATTGACCCATAAATTAACATAAAAACATATTAATATAATCAATCTAAAAAAAAAAAAAAAAAAAATATAGTAATAATAAAGATTTATTAGTAATATGGTATATGTAATTGATAATCATACTAAAAAGTGGCAATTCAAAAAAAATATAAATATACTATGGTAATACATATAATTCTGTAGACTAAGAACATAACATACAAGATTTATAGTATTATTAATTACTATTCGATTTAGGAAATGAAGTTTATTTAAACTATCATGATGTTCACAAAGTTAACTCAATACCAATATTGCCACCATTTAGTGTCTAATAATTAAATTAAATTAAACACTGGATTAAATAGTACAGACTCATGAGAATAAACAATAAATATTATGTTCTATTACAGTGTATTTATTTTTGTTCTATTTTACTTAAATTCTTTAGGTATCACATATTTTAATAAACATTACATATGATAAGGTACAATATAAATAATATTAAACTGTAAACGATTGTCAATAGATAACAAAAACATAACAAAACTAACTAGTTAACCAATACACTAGAGCAACCATGCATTTGAAATAGCACTTTTATCATGCAAACAGTACTGATTGTACTTAAATACATGATAAATAATAATGAAAAAAATTGAAAGTAAAAGCTAGAATGAAAAAGGTGAAATAAATATTAGTATAAACAGAAATAGAAGAATTATAAGCGAGCAAGAGTAACAGTTTGAAACTTGAATGCCATCATGCATAAACGAGGATGTGCATTTAATACTAAATGTGGAATATGTGTAATAATTTGCATACCGGAACCACTTGTACTAGGTAAATATTGCTGTTCATCTGATGTCTCTTTTGTACACTCTTCTTCAATTACATCTATATTCTCTTCATTATCTGTAATTTCAGTATTGATATTTTCCACTTTGAAATTACGTGACGAATAAGTTGGAGACTGTTGAATAACAGATGATTTTTGGGGTGACTTTATAACAGTATTGCCAATCAATGAATCGTTGGAATTCTACATAAAAACAAAAACAAATTAAATATAAATTTAAATATTTTTTCCAATAAAACAAACCTGAGGTATATATGGCCTTAACTGACTTTGTGGTTGATGTCCAGATGTATTGGTATTATATTCTGGACATAAGAAAACTTCAATTTCTCCAGCATTACTTTTCATATACATCTTTTGCTAAAAAAAAAAAAAAAAATGTTAAATGTAAATATTATCTCAATAAATTTATAATATTTACTTCTCCATCATGATCTTGAGGTACTTGTAATTCAGTTTCTGGAGGAGCCTTAACAACTAAAACTGTTTTTTGCCTAAATGATTCAATTGATCTTATATCTTGATAAGTTACATATCCATATCTTTTATCTTCGGTCAATTGTTTAATATCTCTTTCTGTAAGGTATTAATAAATTTTATATCTATAACATTAATTTATTTATAATTATTTTTTACTTTTACACACACACACACACACACACACACAACTTAAATAATTTAATCAATTATTTTTTATGAAGTTATATTCCAAATGTTTAAATCATACCAGTATTTAAAATCAAATTATCTAACTCTTCTTCTTTGGCTTTCATTTCTTCTATGTCATGCTGAACAGTATATTTATCTGGTCCATAAGCATTTCCTCCTCTAAAAATTTGATAATAAAAAATTATTAGCCGGACACATATTTTTTAATTATTATTTAGTTCCTTACTTCCACTGAATATTATTTTTGGATTTCTTTTCCAAAATTCCAATACCTTCTAATACATTGGTAATATCATATATCCTTCGTTTTTGTACATCCAATTTTTCTGATGCTATATTTAAATCAACAACACCATCTGTAGATGTTTCAAGCAGTCCAATGAATTTTTTTGTCAACAAACCCAAAGATGTGTCATAACGAGTTGGACGTTCAGAACATTTTTTTCTAGCTACTTAAATAATAAAATACATAATTATACATATTTATATACATTATGGTAAAAATTGTTTTTATTTCAATTAGCATATGCGTTTAAAATTTCTTACCATTTTGGGCAGGACTAGGTGATTCACTACCAGCACTCGAATTAGATAATTTTCTCATTCGTTTAGCTGTCATTGGTGCAGTAGAAACATCTTCATATCCAAAATTAAGTGTTTCTAAATTTAACCGACGTTTTACACCCTGAAAAAAACAAGTTAAAATTAATAATAATTTATAAAACTTAGTGACAGCAAGTAATTAAAATGTATAAAGAAAACTTTGAATTAAATATTAAAAAAGTTATAAAATAGAGATGATGTATAGAGAATATACAAAAATTCAACCCAATACAGACCTAGTGTTTTACTCTTTTGTAATTTCTTTAAGTGTTTGTGATTTACTATGTCAAAAATAACTAAGATTAGTTTTCTAGTAATTACATGTTTATGTATGCAATCAATTTAGGATCAAATTGAAAAAATAGATAGTAAAACTATATGATCAAAGAATGTAATAATAAAGCCATTAAAGCAAAATAAAATAAAAATATTTAAAAAACTGAACAATACAAATATTTAATAATTAGTAAATAAATAAAATAATCCAAACAACTATAAAACAGCTGCAGTGAAATTTTAATAAATTTATAAAATTATTTAATACAAATGTTAACTAAAATAAAACTATTAGCACCCAAATAGACAATCATTTTTTTTTCTAATTATAACAATACATCTTTAAACATTATTCATAAAATTATATACATTTACAAGTATATATAATTTAGTGAAATATTAAAGTGCATCCATAAAAAAATATTATATTTACAAGAAAAATGTAAAATATATGGACAGTAAAAAAGAAAAAAAAATATTGAAACATTAAACTTTCTTAGAAAGTATTGAAAATCCTTTTAATCAGATTTAAAATATTAAATTACAAGGATAATGAATAATTATTTCTAAGAATCAAGAATAATTGGAGGAGTGATATGTTTATTATCATAAGATTAATCACTATATTAGTATGAATAAAAAACTTACAAATATTTGTATCTGTATCAATGAAAGATACCTTAATTCTAACTACAAGTCAGTTATTTAAGTTAGTAAAATTAACTTAAAACTCAAAATTAAATTTGTATGTTTATTAAATATTATAATATGAGCCACATTTATAGCTGATCATGATCAATATTAAACTAATTGGAAAAAAAGTAAATCCTATCAATATAAGGACTCTAATAATTAATTATGTTGATAGTTAAGTATTGAATTACAATTTATATAGGCAGTAGAACTAAATCAATTATTCATTAAATATTATTATTATTATCAATTATATAACTTACTTGTGATTTTGTTAAAGGAGATGTAAGAGGATTTGGAATGATTTGGTTTTGTGGTGTCATACCATATTCATGATCAAGCAAATGATATGGAGATGGTGTTAAGAAAGTTGTCATGTTTGACTCTGAAAAAATAAAAACAATAAATTATTTTTGACTTTAAAACACATCCACATCTCTTAATTTAGTAGAGTAAAATTACTGCTATTTTTTTGTAACATAAAATGTATTTTAGCTTTTGTTATTAAAAATCCAAAGGTTAGTCTTGGCAGGTGGTGCTGAACCACAGAATTTATCAGTGACTGCAGCTAATTGTTGACTTTACAATATTTTCAAATAAATTTAAATGTTTTAAGTGATATAAAAATACCATTAATCTAAGTGAGAGAAAATAGTTAATAACAATTGTGTAAGTATAATTAAATACAATATTGTAAGGATTCAGATAAATATGTTAACATATTATCATTATAAATTAAAAAAAAAAAAAAAAATGTTAAATTGAAAATGGAATTGATATGGTTCATTAACAAACTATTAATATGATATGTAAAAAAGTTATATTTTATTTAAAATATTTATAATGAAAAAGAAGTTTCAATTGAAAACATGCCCAGCAGAATCAACAAATGAAAATTTCTCATTCAGTTTTAAAAATTAAATATTGAAACAATACTTATAAATTTTGTTTATATTACAAATGGGATTTAGTTTTGTATTAAACCATAATACAAATAATAATGAAAAAAAAAAAAAATTATAGCTAACAAAGTCAAAAACAAAAAGTTTTAACATACAGAATTTTAAACATTAAAACTTACTATATCAACATTTTTCATTAATCAATTAAGATCTTAAATATAATGAGATCAGACATTTTTTCAGGGATATATATCATTTTAATAATGAGAGGGTGAATAGTTAAAATGTACACCACATTCATACCAATAGATTATTTTTCTGATAGCTACAGTCAGATGCTGTTATGATGATCATCATATAGGATTGTCACATTTTAAAAATTAATAAACACTTTTAAAACATGCACAGATAACACAAATCAAATAATAAGGTTCATACCTAAAGGTTAGGTTAGGTCAAAATCACACATGTGATTTTAAAAAATCAACTCTCACGGAAACTTTTTGGTCAAATTATCATTCCCCTAAACATTCTAACACAATAAGTTCATCAGACCCTTTAAGGAGTTTCTTGTTGTAAGTTGCATTTACTGCAAATCACAGTTTTAACTTTAAATTAAAATGTAATTTAAAATAAAAAATCACCGTTGTCAGTGTTGTCATTAAATGCTATTCAGTTTTTCTGATTTTCTCTAAAACCTTTGCAACCGTGAATACCCTTCCTAAAACAAGTAGGAAGATACTCAACCCATATCCTCCTGCACTCCACCACTATATTACTCTTTTTTCCATATTTTTGAACTAATAAAAAAAATTGAAAATACCAATTGATTCTGATACGATTGATATGATGATACTATACTAATTTCATAAAAATAACTCCTATCTTTACTCATAAATAAATTTAATTATATAATCAGTAACAATAGTTATAAATAATAAGACACGTAATATTAAAATTGTATGTATAATTAAAAAAAAAATATCAAAGTTAAAAAAATAAATGAAAATCTCCAAAATTTTAGAATGGTGGAAGTAAAATATTAATATCTACAATTTAATTTTGATTTATTTTTTCACACATACATAATTTACAAGAATATAGTAAGTAATACTTAATTAAATGTTTACCCAAAAATACAGTTATCTGAAATAAAATATTTTGAATAATTTTTGTTATTATGATATCAAACAATTGCAAAAAAATAATTTGATAAAGTTATTTTTTAGAAACACAATTACTTAACTATAAAAAAATTAGGTAAAATTAATTTTTTTAAATTGATATTAAAATATAGCATATACATTGGTAGATAAAATAACAGGTATACTTTGATTTAAAAAAATGTGTTCACCTTTATATTTTTAAAATCTTATCTTCAATATCATTACACAAAAATTTGTGTTAATCAATCAAATAATCAATAATGAAATAAAAATATAATATAGTATTTTTGAAAGTACTTAGATAAATTCTAATAAACTTAACTTCATATAACTATAATTATGACATTCATTGAACTAAGATATTTAATTACTCAATATAGATTATCTTAGATTTAATCTTTATTTTTTGATAAAAGAAGGTAATAGTAATGCATAAAAATATGTCAATAGAAAAAAATTAAATTTATCTTTAAAAAATTTAAAAATTGAGATAACAAAATAAAATTATATTCATTCGGATTTTAAATGTTTGTAATTTATTCTATACATATTCTTTGCATTTAGATATTTAATTGTTTTGTAAAAAAGATATTTACTATACATTTTTCCAACGGATTACATTATGAATACTTTTATTAAAAAACTGAATTTAATTTAAAAAAAATCAAATGTTATAAATTATAATATAATTATAACTTATAATTATGGTTTTTAATTTTTGTTAAGATTTTTTTTAAAATGTAAAATGTTGTTCCAATGGAATACAATTTAAGTTAACCTTCATAATT